TTAAATGTTGTAAGCCACCCAGAGACCTTTGGGTAGTGTGGGCGGCATATAAATAAATAAATAAATAAATAAATAAATAAATAAATAAATAAATAAATAAATAAATAAATAAATTTTGAAGCAGCCTATAAGTGTATAAAATAAATGCATCATTGATCTTATTATTATTACTGTACTCTGATATGTCCAGTTAAGGATTGATTGATTGCCCCTTTTTATTGGCTTGCTCTTTCCATTTTTAAAGCTTAATTTTAGACATTTCAATGCTACGGGTTACTATTTTAATGTATTGTTTTATTACAGTTTTTCTCTTTGTTTTGGTTTTAATGCTACGAAGGGCTATAAAATGGTATCCGTGATTTACCCCTCCTTTAAGTGCATCTTCAAGACTAGATAATCTGAATTTTTTTAGTTGGTAGGGTGGAATTAACCCTTCTTCTCCCTGTGACAGATTGGAAGGCACCGGGACATATACCCTTCCCACGGAAACCAAATACGTGGGTGAGATGAAGGATGGGATGTTCCACGGCAGAGGGACCCTGTATTTCCCAAGTGGAAGTAAATACGAAGGGACTTGGGAGAATGGTATATCCATAGAGGTATGCCCACTGGCCTGTTATGTTTGTTTGTTCAGTCGTTTAGTCGTGTCCGACTCTTCGTGACCCCATGGACCAGAGCACGCCAGGCCCTCCTATCCTCCACCGCCTCCCGGAGTTGTGTCAAATTCATGTTGGTTGCTTCGATGACACTGTCCAACCATCTCATCCTCAGTCGTCCCCTTCTCCTCTTGCCTTCACACTTTCCCAACATCAAAGTCTTTTCCAAGGAGTCTTTTCTTCTCATGAGATGGCCAAAGTACTGGAGCCTCAGCTTCAGGATCTGTCCTTCCAATGAGCACTCGGGGTTGATTTCCTTTAGAATGGATAGGTTTGTTCTCCTTGCAGTCCAGGGAATTCTCAAGAGCCTCCTCCAGCATCACAATTCAAAGGCATCAATTCTTCGGCGGTCAGCTTTCTTTATGGTCCAGCTCTCACTTCCATACAACACTACAGGAAAAACCATAGCTTTGACTATTCGGACTTTTGTTGGCAAGGTGATGTCTCTGCTTTTTAAGATGCTGTCAAGGTTTGTCATTGCTTTCCTCCCAAGAAGCAGGCGTCTTTTAATTTCGGGGCTGCTGTCTCCATCTGCAGTGATCATGGAGCCCAAGAAAGTAAAATCTGTCACTGGCCTGTCACTGGCCTGTTATAAGATGTTTTAAAAACTTCTCCCGTTTTTTAACAGGTGAGCTTGTCTTTGGAAAGCCTTCTCGAGGTATCTCCACCTTTGGAGGCAAACCAAGTGCCTTCTTGAACACCCTCACTTGATACCATCTCTCTTGTCCACCAGATGAGAGTTGTAGTCCAAAAAAAAAAAAAAACACCTTTTCCACCTCTGCTTTTAAGGTCATTTCATCCCCCTTGAATTGCTTGCTCACTTTTTAAAAAAAAATAAATCTGAAATTTGCTTTCCACCTGCCCAGTCTCTGCCATTTTCTGGGATTGTTTTATAGCTTCTGTTCTTCAAGCTGTCTCTCATTCATAACATGTCCGGTAAAAAATGAAGGAACAGAATATCACCTTATTTGATATTCTGGTGATTTTTGAATCCGAATTTCAGCCACTGAGGATTAGGGCAAGGTTTTACACTCTGCTCTGAAAGCTTGTGGGCTTCTGAGGGTCACTGTGGAAAACCAGATGCTTTTGCCTAATCTAGTACAACTCTTTGTATATTCCTTACCTTTAAGTTTTCCTTCGCAGGGCAAATACACCTTCGCAGACGGCCTGGAATACCAAGATGAGAGATGGCATTACTGCGATGGATACGACAGAAGGTTTTATACTGAAATCTGCAATGGCCTGAAGCCAGCAGGTAATTTTACTTGGTCACCTTGCCTGATTAAATAGGTTGGTTGAGTTTCTCAAGAGAAGCAAACTTGGGAGAAGAAATAGCCTGAAATTTAGTTGATGACCACTATGCTTGTTGAGGCCCACTAATACCGTTAGGGCTAGGAGGCAACTAGCCAAAATCATCCCTTTCTTCCTTATTCCTGAGTCTATTGTTTTTATTATTGATTTATTAACAAATGCTCCTACAGAGGAGTACATTAGAACCAGGATATATGACTTGTTGGATTTGAACTCTCAATATCCCCCAGCCAGCGTATCCATTCTGCCATTCAAAACAAAACAGAAAGGGGGGAGCAGGCAATTCCCAAGTTCTGAATACTGTACGTCTAATCACTAGTCTACATCTAATCAGCCTCCTGTAGAGCCTCCAACAGCCTCCCATAGATTTGGGACATCTATATGTTTCAAAGCTGGATATTTACACCTTTATATATATGTCTATCATCATTTCCAAGGCAAATCCCAGCTGACAAATCTGGACCCTCCTCGGATGATCCCTCCGGGCTGCTATGACTGTGGCGATGGTTTCTATAATCCCGAAACCAGAGTGGTTACCGATTACCATCACCGGTTTTTGAGGAACGCAGGTACACCCGTGCTATGAAAACAATGTCCATGTTATTTATTTTGACCCACGTTTCCTCCAAGAAGCACACAAGGTTTTGCATCTTATCCTCACGCAACCCACAAGTGCTGGTGAAGCTGAGAAAAAACCACCCAGAAAACTTAATGGCCAAGATGAGATTTGAACCTGGGATTCTTCGGCCCTGATCTAACACCTTAGCTGTTTGTGTTAGGTCAAAGGAATATAGCTGCCACGAGTCACTTCATGGCCTGGTGGGGGGGGGAGGTTAGTAGTATTTCTGCCTGCCCCACCTATGTCCACCAGAGGAAAGGGATTACAGTTCCCACCCTCCCCTGCCAGCCTAGCTGATGGACAGAGGACTATGGTCATTGTGGTCAAATATATCTGTTAGGCACTAGATTGGGAAAGGGGGCAGTCAGTGTCACCTCTCCGCTTGGGATTTTGGGTATCTCATCTTCTGCTTCCAACCCATAAATCTGGATCATTGTTAACGGCGCCTGGTGGCACGGGTCCAACATGCTGGAACGCCACCGTCCGCTGATGGGTCTGATAAGTGAACGCTTTCCCCAAAACACAGGAACCCAGACAGATCAGCCCAGGCAGGAACGCCTAGAAATTCCTTCCTCCTCGTCTTCTTTTTAAAAATAATCTCCGCTTTGAACTCTCCTTTGTTACACTTCAGGGGCTATAAACTTATCAAGAGCGCCAGGGCTGCCAAATCAGCTCATTGTGTGTGTGTATATCCCATTTTTGCCCGTCGAGCATCGAGGAGGGCCCCCGAGTGCTCCTCTCCTTTGAGGACGTGGGTGTGAAGATGGGATGTGGCTCAGAGGTCCGTCCCTTCCTTTCAGGGGCACCGACACAATTGAAAGAGCCCGGACTCGCTTGACATCAGAGGAACTCCAGAAGCCCCAGGAGAAGTTGTTGGGAGGCTCAAGGCCAGCGAGGGGACAGAAGAGGCTGGCTGATAGCCGGGCAGTGCGCGAAATAAGCCAAGGAAAAGGGCCCGGCGCGAGAGGGAACAGATCCAGGGCTGCTTCTTTACAGGAAAGACAGGAAAACCCCATCAGGTCTTGGAAGCATCAAAAGCAGATGGCAGGAAACATTGAGAAAACCTTCGGCAGCCAGCTTGCTGAAATGATACCGCCTTTCTAAAGAGCTGGGTTCGAGGAGGCCACCTTTTGCCTAGCTTCCCTTCCCCCCAACCCCCCCCCAATGCAAAGTTTGTGGCAAAGTCTAGAAAGAAATCATACGATGGACAGGAAATTTAAATCACAGTTTCAAAATGAGGAAAGCAAATCCAGAGTAAGGTCTTTGATTTTGTTGAAGGAACGGGACATAATTCTTCCTAAAATCTGAGTAGAAATATCAAGGGCCTCATAAACAGGTGAACCCACACGCATGTGCATACCTTCTACAGACTGTACCAAATTCCTTCAGTCCTGCACTCGATGGCCTGTGATGCCATAGAATACAGACTATCATCAGAGAGAGAAGGTTCTCTAGCATAACACTGACAATGCAGCTGCTGCAGAAGAAGACCAAATTTGAAAAATTACTGGACAGTGAAGAAGAAAAGGGTCTTTGCAAGAAAAGCCTGGGGCGGCTATAATCAGGAGAACCGAGCTGGTTCTGATCGTTAACGCCTGGAGGGAGTTACATCTGTGGAGCAAAACTTCTAGGATCCTTCAACCAGCAGGCACAGTGGGAACATCTGATTCAAACAGTGAATTTCCCAAGCTCCGTTGAGAAGATAACCTTAGGGAGAAGCCGTCTGCCTCTAGAAACTAGAAAGGAGGTGTGGGAAAGGGCTCAGATGGCAGGATGGTTTCCTAGCCGAACCTCTAAAGTTCCCTGGTGGTCCTTCCATCCAAGCACGAATCAGGCTGGACCTCCCATCATTTCTGAAATAGGACAAGATCAGGCACTTTCAGAGTGGCATAGCGCTATAGCACAGCAGGGATAAAACCTGGCCGTTTCTGCATGCTCACGGCATGCTCTAGCGCCGAGATGTGGCTCTTATTCATCAGGGGACAGGGGACTCGCTGTGGCCTTAAGGCCACATGAGCTTTCTCCTCCTCCTCTTCTTCTGCCCCTCTCACACTTCCCAAAGGTGGGAATGCCAACCACGTCTAGCGCTGTGCAATGCCAGGATTCTGACCTTGTTCTTGTTTTTTTCCCTGGGCTGGCATATGCCTTCACAGCCTCTCTCCAAACAGCGCCTAAGTGCCCACCTGGGTCTTTAGAAACCAGAGTAGAAAGTGGCCCTTGAGGCAGAGGGCAATTTAGTCCTTGTTGCTTTTTCCTTCCTTTGCCGCTCCAGATTCCAAGGAGGCCACCCCCCCCTCACCCCACCCACAAAACTGAAACTACGGACCGCTTTCCAGAAAAGGAAAATAAATGGAAATGTGGGGTTTCTTTTCATACCTTTTTTTACAAATCGAAGGTGTCGGGGCTTTGATCCAGCACTGAAAGTCCCTTGCAGCTTATTTTTATTTTTTAACGTTCAATGGTATAACTTCCACCCCCAACTCTCCCTCTCCCTCTCTCTCTCTTTTTGCTTTTGTATATTTAATCATTGTGAATTATAAGCTGTGTGAAAGATTTCGGCTCTCGGGCATTTGCCAGATGGTTGATTCTACTTCCCTCTCCCCACCCCACCCCCAGCACTACAAAAGACATAATGTTTGTGGCAAGCCCTGAGAAATGGTTGGTAATCAGTGTATTCTTCCAACGAACGGGAGCCAGACCTGTTTGCAAGAATGTACAGCTTTTTGCAGAAATTAATTGTGAGCATTCTGAGACTCGGCTTCTGGGCACAACGAATTGAGTCCAATTGTTTTGCCAGTTTCCAGCATGAGCAGAGGAGATGGGATGTTGTTGAGGATGCCCCCCCCATTTTTATTTTCTTTTAAACATGGTATAGTTTGTTGTCAATGTATTGATCGGTTTCACCCTGGGCATGCGAGGGGAAGACAACTAGAGGGGGAAAACCTGTGCAGTGCAGTTCTATCCTATGAATGTACAGCTGTTTCCCCCAGAAAGCAGGGCTCCTTCTTTCAAAAATGTACTGTAGATTCTTCCTGGTGGTGGTTGGTTTTTGATGGTTGTACGAATCACCTTGGTACATAGCAGCTCCTCCATCACTGGAGGTGTTTAAACAGAGGTGAGATGGCCATCTTCCAGCGATGGCTCGGCTGCACCGATGGGGTGGACTAGATGACCCTCCGGACCCCCTTTGAACTCCACCATTCTCTGGTTCTCTGGTCCATCCCCTTAGGGCTGTGGTTTAGGCAAATGAGGTTGAGAGGTAACACACAAGAGCTGTCTGTGGATGTCAGAAGGGCATCCTGTGGAGGATCACGCCAAACTTTTCTCCTGCAGCTCCAGAGAGCAGGGGCCTGAATCCGTGGATTCAGAGAAGGAAAAACAAGAGATGCTGACTAAACCTTAGGAAGACTTTTCTGGCAGTAACAGGTGGCTAGCAGTGGAACAGGTTGCTTCGGAGGTTGGTAGACTCCTCCTTCATTGGAGTTTTCTCCTGCTAAGCCTCTTACTTAGGCTCTCTGCCTAATCCAGGGCTGCTCTGCTACCCAACCTGACTCTCTCCATAAGCCTCAGACTACAACCTCCCTCATCCCCATAAGTCCAGTTTTTACGTCCATCCAGACACATGGGGAAATCAACGCCATGGCTGCCTGCTGGCAATCCATTTCTCTTTCCAAAACACAGCAGTTCATCCTTTTTTTGTTGTTGTTTTGCATTGTACCCCCTCCACCCTCCAGCTCCTGCTTGGATGTAAATGTGTCATCATCCCCCCCAGAAAAAGGGGGGGCAACAGAAAAAGAATGAACTTTTTAAAGGGTAAAATGAGCCGCTACAACAGGATTCTCACCCACAACACACAGAGCTGGCTAATTGCACCAGAGGGATAATTTCCAGTTGATTAAAGAGTATTTGTATTCTCTTCTACCCTTCTCCCCCCCCCACTCTCTCGCTACCAGTTTTTTTAAAAAAACATGGAAATTGCATCTGAAGATGAGGCTGTGCCTCGGCATTCGTATTAATAAAGACCCAACAACGGCGTGGTGCGCACGAGGAAAAAAAGTAATTACAACTTGCTGTCCGAGAACTCTAATCAAACTCTGGGCTTTAATTCCATTTGAAACATGGATGATAGTGCCGCTCGCTGGCTCTCCACACTCACCCCGGTACGGCGGGGTGGCGGAAGCTGCTGCAGGGGAAGCAGCGGCTCAGGAGAGCCGGGGGGTTGCCGAACGAGCAGCTGCCTCCCAAAAGCTTGGATCGGCATCTGTGATTTAAATTGTTAGCTGCACAGTCAGGTAGAAGTGGGTAGAAAGGGTGGTCGAGAGGCTGTTAAGCCCCCTGGCCGCCAATTACAAACAATCATGGAGGGGCCTGCCGGCTCGTTCAGTACAATAAACCCAGTTTGTCTAGTTGCAAGGGTTAAGGCTCAAGAGGCTGCAGCTGCGCTGATTAAAATACCCGGCAACTATGGCCATTATCCGCCGGAGGCCTGCTCCTTCAGGGTGGCAGGAGGAGTAGGCACACCACGGCTCCGTCCCTTAACTCTTTCGCTTCTCCCAGGTGCCAGCCGGCCCGTCGTGATCCAGGACCTGCGGCTTTATGGCCCCCGTCCCGAGTCGGACATCATTTTGCAACCCCGCCTTTGGTCCAGTGCCGAATGAGTCAGGGCAAGGACTAAGGCTCCCAGCATCCCCAATCGAGCCCAGCCAGTCGGACTGTAATCCCTTCCCACCCATCCAAAAAAGCAACCTGATAAGAATACCAAAACAGCAACTAAAGGTTGACTACTGTCATATCATCGTGGACATGCTGGATGCCATGTGATTTTTTTTGGAAGCTAAGCATGGACCGGCCTGGCTCATAGTGTGGATGGGAGACCACCAGGAAACACCGAGGATCTCCAGGTTGAGCTGCAGAATAATCCTGCCAAGACATCACCGCTGCTGCCGGTCAGAGAGAGCACCATCAGCTGTATGGATCAATGCTGTCATTCCAGTATAAGGCAATGTCATCTCCTCCTATTGTTATCCCGCTTAGGCCGTGGTCACACCAGCAAAATGTTTTCTAGTTATGCCCCATTGATTTCGCATCATAAATTTGCAGTGGGATAATGCAGAACCACTACTGAATTTTTTACTCTGCATTATTTCCTGTCCTCCCGGAGGCGTCTCCTTTTTTATTTTTTGATTCGGTCACATTGCAAAACATTTTGTTTCGTTACATTGTGTGTGCACGACTGTACTGCACCTTTTCTAAGGGAAAGTCGCCAGAAGAGGCTGCGGCCGCTGCTGTCATTCGACTGACCCTTATTTATTCCCCCCCCCCCAAGAGTGTTGATGCATTTGTCAACGGCCCCAGCGACAAGGAAACCCAGAGGGGAAATAGGTCGATACTGAAGTGTTGCCAGCCATAACGCGTCAAATGTAAAGATATGTTGCAGAAACAACAGCAAAATCCATGTTGGGATGGAGAAAAATATGTCAACCGCCCCAGCGACAGAGGAAACTCAGAGGGGAAACAGGTCAATACTGAAGTGTTGCCAGCCATAACGCATCAAATGTAAAGATATGTTCAGAAACAACAGCAAAATCCATGTTGGGATGCACATTCTGGACTGCGAAGCAATACAGAAAAGTCCGGGTAGCAGAGGGGAACATTTTGCTGATGTGACGGCAGCGTCATTGTTGCAAACCTACGATAGTTCATTGTTTGGACGTCAGCTCCAGCCATCTCCCAGTTAGCACTGAAGTTTCTTCCACCACCTTCCATTCTGCTTGGCATGGAAGTGATCTGCAGTTTGCAGATGATGCAATTCTTTTCGAGGTACAAAGGAACCGGAATTGACATTCCCCCCCCTCCAAAAAAAATATATCTATCACTGGCATTTAAAACACTGGTTCTTAACCTTGGGTGGCATGGAAACGATCTACAGTTTGCAGATGATGCAATCCTTTTCGAGGTACAAAAGAACCGGAATTAACATTTCCCCCCCCTCCCAAAAAAAATAATCTATCACTGGCATTTAAAAGACAACAATTGCTGGGAAATTATCTTGCGTTAACTCTAAAACAAACTGGAAATTTGCACTAAAAAGAAGCTCTTAACAGATTTGGCTCTGAAAACGATCTACAGTTTGCAGATGATGCAATCCTTTTCGAGGTACAAAAGAACCGGAATTAACATTTCCCCCCCCTCCCAAAAAAAATAATCTATCACTGGCATTTAAAAGACAACAATTGCTGGGAAATTATCTTGCGTTAACTCTAAAACAAACTGGAAATTTGCACTAAAAAGAAGCTCTTAACAGATTTGGCTCTGAAATAGATTTTCCTGGGAGTCTTTTTGGATTTCAGCTTCTGATTCAGGAAGCATTCCTTTTTAAAAATGAAAAAAAAATACTGTTGAAATGAGCAAAATGGGAGTCCCCGAGCTAGGATAAGGTCCATTTCTTGACAAAAATAAAAGAGAACTGTGGCAACTTTATTTTCTAGTTGCGCCAAACTTAACGGCTAATACCTCCTCGCAAGATGGTTGTGGCAGGCCTTCAACCTTAAGTCAATTTCACAGACGAATCAACCCGCACCCTCAGAAGGGAATCGGTAACAACCACTTTTGAGCAGTGCATCTGTACGTTCAAGATAATGCCTATTTTTTTCCTATACTGTTCTGATTCTACAGAGTTTAATTTAAAAGAAAATAGCTTTTTCCTTCTAATGACATGTGGCTGTAGGTTTCAATTTTTGAATTGTAAACATGCACTATGAGTCAACGAGAAAAAGATTACTGGCAAAACTTTTACTTTCCTCCCAAAATAACTGGTCCATTTTTTTAATGGAACAGTGCCCCTCAGGTGTTTCGACTGCTCCAGAATGTTGTTTTTATTTTGTGAGGGTCTTTTCTTCCCCCGCTTCCCACAACTTTAGCAATCATTTTCCTTCACTAAAGAAGGAAAGAAGCTCTTTTCTGCTAAAGAGCCAGTGTGGTTTAGCGGATGGAGTGACCGACTAGGACTCAGGCCTGAGTTCGAATCTCCACTCAGCCGCACAAGTTCACTAGGGTGTGGGAAATGGCGAAACCATTCCTTAAATCACTCACTTTCCTTGAAAACCTGATTCGGGTCAGTACAAGTTGGGGGGTGACTTGGTGGCATGCAGTGACATTTCTGCTCATTTGATCTTCAGATGATGACGAACACGACTGGATCGTGAGAACCTGCCGGAAAGGTTGGGACGAGATCATCGGCTTCAGGCCCAAAAAGTGAGCCCGCCCGGCGGAGGGGGCCTCCGGAGAGAGAACCAGGCGCCTCGTTTGAACCTTCAGCTTCCTTGTGCAAAGTCTCAGCACCTGTAATTTCTCCATTAGGGTCGTTTTGTATTACCTTTGCTAACAAAAAAAAATTTTTTTTTTGAAAAAAAATGTATAAAGCTGCACTTCATCAGTTCTGTTAAGAGAAAATGGTGTGATTAATCACCCGGCATTTACTCTAATACTTCCCATGAGGTGAGCAACCAGCTTGCTCCTTTTGTATCCCTATTTCTGAGCACTAAAGAATTAACTCAGAAGGCAGCCTTCCCCGGTCTCTCAAGCCCATATTATATGCCCGCCGCACCGACACCCACCCACCCGCTGCAGTGGATCCTTCTCTCTGCACTCGGGTATTAATTGGGTGTTGTAAGCGTGAACTCGGGGACTACGGTTTTTAATCACCGGTTTGCCAAAGGGAGAGAATGGAACCACTTCGCCGTTCAGTTCACACACAACCCCGAAGTCCTAAACAAAAGGTTTCGGAGACCTTTTTTTAAAAAAAAAAAAATTTTTTTGTCTGAAGCGCAAAATAAAAGGGAGTGGCAGCCTTTTCCTTCACGTAAAGTGCCAGCACTTTGACTTGCCTTAACTTTATTTATTACACAAATAAGACGTTGACAAAGCACAACAATAAAAGGTCGGTAACCAAAACAAGACGTGGGCTGTACAATTTTTAAAAGTGCTTTACATTCCTCCACCACCCCTTCCCTGCCCCCCTCCCTCCCTCTCTCTCTCTCTCTCTTTTTAAAATAAATATCCGACTTGACAGCTTGCTCTTCGGAAAGGGTATTTTTTTAGTCCGCGTCGCTGAGACGCGCGCAAAACGGCCACGCACGACGACACCACGCCACCGGCTCGTTGTCAAGGAAAATGTTGGTGGAGGCTCTGACCTTGCCATCGCCTGGCTGTTCCCTGGCATCTGCAGCCTTTTAACCCAGCTTCTCCAGTGGTCCTTGTCCAGGAGGGCAACCCCCCCCCAACCTAATATGGAAGAAGACCTCATTCCGGGTCTTCCAGAGCCCCATCAAGCCTCTATCAACCTGTAAATTGAGCCAATTTGCATATATTTGCATGATTCATCCCGGAAAAGGGCGTGTTTGCCAAGGTGTGGACGGAGGGACGAAGGTCACTGGAAGTTTGCTCTCCTTAATTCCTGGAAATCTCTGTATCTGCTTCGCTTTCTGAGTTCCCACTCTACATCCCTTTTCTGCCTCACTCTTAAGGGCTAGAAACTTGATTATTACAAAAGAAAAATGATTTTTTTTTAAATGAAGCAAAGTTTTGTTGCCAATACTAAACCATTCCTGACTCTGGGTGGGTGGGTTTTCTCTACCACTCCCCAAAACCCGTCTGGCAAACGCTGAGCGAGCCACGCTTAGCTGGAAAAGCATCTTTTCCGTAGGCTTCTGTTTTATTTATTTATTTTTCTCTTCCAAATGCACACAGATGACCTCCGATAAGGGGTTCCTCCGTGCCCTCGGTCAGAGGGAAACACGTCAGCTTGCTAACGAGACTGGCTGGACTAAATAGGCCTAATTATTCGGGGACGTCTTTTAACATTCTCAGGACCGTCGTTTATCTACCACAGGCATCGGCTGAATTAATGATGAATTGTTTCCAGTTCTGTGAAACTGCTGGAATTTGGGGGGTGGAGGGTAGGCGGCGGGGAGGGAAGCATGGCAGCACTAAAACAAAAATTTTTCGAGTTTGAAAAAAGGTGTCTCCTGGCGTTCTTAAGGAGTAGAACCCAAAGCTTCCTGCAGGGTATTGGAATGGCCCTTGGCAAGGGGAGGCGATCCTTCTCACTTTTAAGTATGGACCTGCACCTCTGCCTTTCCATCTGGTTGTTCGATTCATTGGTACCCACCCGATGTTTCTGTGGGCCAAAGAGCATACAAGAAGGAAAGGACATTTAAAAATGGAACAGGAAGCATTTAAAGATTTTCTCTGCTCTGTGTTTGGACCACCTGAGCCCTCACTGTTTAGTTCTTATGCCTAGGAGTTTAAAAGGTTTCAGTCCTATCTCTCTACTAATCCCACACCCATCCACTAGGAAACCGGATTAGACGTTCACCGGAGAATAGGTTTTGATGGGTTTCCCCAAGCAAGTGGGTTTCAGGCCCCCTGTCTTGTCAGAGGGATGGAGAGCAAGGGCCTGTTATCAACATCATTGAACAGGGAAAGAATTTCACCTCTTCGGTTCTGCGTGGGGGGGCTCAAAAAACCTACACCTATCAGCTGATTCCTTCCCCCTGGTGGCCGAGTGCTTTTAACACAATGTACACAACTTGAATTAGGCAAATATATCCATAGCTCAACTTTTCAGAGGCCACCCCCCACCCACCCCGCTTCCATCCGATGACTGGCGCCAGGCCTTTTGGATCACGTACGTCGACGATCACGTCAGAAAGGACTCCAGCCTTTGCTAGTCAGTAGGTGCCAGCCCGTCCCAGGGAGGAGCAGGTAAAGAATGACACGCAGGCCCTCTGCAGATAGTGGTAGCGCCGGAGACTGGAGGAGATGCACACGTCAGAGGAGGGGCCAAGCTTCCTGGAGTTCAGTCCCCACAGCTTGGTGGCCAAAGCAGTCCTGGCTAGTGGCCACGAATCGAACGCCACACCTGGCTTAGCAGCAGTGTCCGTGAAGCGCATCCATGGAAGATCGGGAGGGGCTGGGGGAGTCAGTACTGGAACAAGATGACCTGTTGGGAAAACCATTGAGGGGGAAAACTCAGTGGACAACATCCGAAACACATGAGTCGTACAGCCCTCTCAGAATACAGCAGATACTTTACATCAATATTTTACATCTAATAATGGCCTAAGAAACCCTGGCTGATATTGAGTCCCTTGAGATGGGTGTCTCTCTGTATGTGTGCCATAGACAAAAATGTATAGGGGCAGGAGAAAGAAGAATTTGGCTGTTTAGAACCTCTTGGCTGGTGTACCAATCTGTGGTCCAGAAATCCAAAGTCATCCAAGGGGGGTCTTTTCCCACCTTTCAATCACTCAATCCAGGAATTTGGGCAGGTCCCAAAACCACCCTAAGCCTTCAAGGCAAAAGCAGCTGCTCACTTCACAACCCCAATCAGAAGTCTCAGGGCCTAGCTTTCACTTCTCACATCTGGAGCTGTGGAAAGTTCCACCCAAAGAGTCCTTAAAGGGCAAAGCTGCCTTTTACCTTCTCCCCCCGGCTCGACAGGGGTCCTTCCATGTCAGCTTTCAGGTGCACAGGAGGGGCGGCGTACGGGAGACGGCAGTGAATTTGCCCACACTGTACTTGACCTGTGAACGAGACGGGAGCTTCAGGCCTTTTTTCTGTTGTGCCAGAGACCCACAAACAACCATCACAGGACTATTAACAGAAACCCTGTGCCTGCAAGACCAAGACCGACAGGACAAGGAGCTTTGCAATCAAAAGCAGAGCTGGCTGAAGTCATAAAGGAGGTGTGATCATCCTCTAATGTTTTTCACAGTTTTTCAACAGGTTCCACTTGCCTGTTGATTTTGCAACATGGCAGGTTTGCAGATGTGCCTTGTATCTTAATTGTTACAACATCTGTCTCGTCTGTTCCGGCCCCATTTCTTAGCCTATGCTTTCACAGCCCATGTGCTAGCACTTACTTTCTATGTAGCTGTGGAGTGTCACCATCCGAGCCCTTTCGGGGCTACTAAAGGGAGAATAGTGGATGTCATCAGGCAACACCGAGGGGATGCGTGACTGTGAACCTCCAGAGGGGGGAACTGTGTGTTGAGGTGTGTGCTTTTTATGCCGCGCTCTGCAGTTCTGAAACCAGACCTGGAACACAAAAGCCCACACACACCCCAGAAAGGACATTTGAGAGAGAAATCTTTATGATGAAGAAGGTGCTCCATTCTTTGTCTGAACGTGGGAATCAGCTCTTACAGCCTAGCTCCCCTCTCATAGCTCCTTTTATTTCCAACAGCCCAGCCTATGAATCAGATTGCCCTTTCACTTTCCTCAGAGCAGGTGGACTGTTGGGTGAGTATTCCGTGTCTGCCGTCTCCACCTGCAGAACACTCATAGGCATCCTACAAGCTGGAAATGGGATTAACATTTCCATTGTTGCTTGTTGTGGGCTTCCTGGCACATCCCTTGGGGCACCATCGAGAAGGTCACACTGGGTGGATCTTTTGACCTGACCTAACAGAAGAGGTCTGATGGGAAAGGGCGAGGTCTCACCTGAATAACTCTCCGACTCAGCCCCGTCATGTCTGCCAGCTTCTGAAGGGTCTGTGCGTCAGGGTTGTTATCCTGAGCAAACTGTGCTTGCATGACCTAGGAAGAGGAGGAGAAGACGCAGAGTCATCCATGGTGCCCACACCCTTCCTCTCGCGTCCTATCATGACCTCTCTGCAGAGGTTCCTTCCATGCCCACCTGGGCTCCCTACCTGCAGCTGCTCTGCCGTGAAGGAGGTCCGTGCCCTCTTGGCCGGTTTTGGCTGGCTGTCTTGCTCGGACGGCACTGCCCCTTCCAACGTGATGCCATTACCTGCAAGAGGAGGGAAGATGAGCCCAGACCCCAACTCCGAAGCCATGTCCCGTTGGCAGGTGCAGGTGGGTGACCGAAAGCGGGGCGAGGGACCCACGAGCCCTTTGACATCCTTGTTGCAACAAGACCAACCCAATGACCATGGGAGTAACTCATTCTGATCCTACCACCATCACAATGTTGGTGACAGCAGCAGATCGGAGAGCACACCTCCAATCTCATATCATTTCAGAAGCTGGATGTGGTCAGGCCTAGCTAGTATGTGAGCGTGAGACGGCTCTGGAATATCAGGTACTATCCGCAGGAAGGAGCTATCACTTAACCGGCGATCTCCTGCCCGATCCCAAATTCAAGCTCTAGCTTCTCCAGCTAGGGCTAGGAAAGGACTCCCCCTGGCCAAAGGCCTGGCTGCCGGTCAAGAGTTGACAAGACAGGGCTTCATGGACCAAGAGTTCAGCTTGGCACGAGGATGCTTTGTGAGTTTTCTGCCCTCTTCTGTTTCCATTCTGTGCTCGGAACAATCCTCCTGGCCAAAGGCCTGGCTGCCGGTCAGAGTTGACAAGACAGAGCTTCATGGACCAAGAGTTCAGCTTGGCATGAGGACGCTTTGTGAGTTTTCTGCACTCTTCTGTTTCCATTCTGTGCTCGGAACAGAATGGAAAGCCCTTGGGCCATTTTGCTCAGGTGCCAAAGGAGAATCAACCCCATCTTGCTCAACCTTTCCCCCATGTCTTCACATCCTCCTCAGATTTAAGAATACACTCCTTCCTCCACTTTTGGGGGGTCTTCACTTGGCCCTCAAAACCTCCGCTCCTTCCCCAGGAACTGGAACGACCACATGTCCCCGACAGAAAGCTCATAAAAAAGACCTCAGGATATGAGATCATGCCGTTCCTTCCACACCACCTGTCCTCCGGCAGTCATTTTTGAGGGGGTGGCATTTCCTCCTAGTATTTTTTTCCCCCATCCTCATCAGCCACTGCAAGGGTTTTAATGGGGAAAACAGAAGTGGAGAAAAGGCTATTATTACTGCCTGGGCTCATGACAGCAATCCCGTTCCACATATTGTGAATGAAATGAAGGTCCACCTGACAGTTCAGCCGCTTGCGAACACTTAAGAAAAGATGGCAAATGGATGAGGACAGAGTACTAGAGTAACTGGTCCCATCAAACATAACCTCATCGTCAACCTGTGGCTTCTCCTGGGTCTCCAAACAAAACAGTTTGACAGGGTGGGGAGGTGTTCTTCCAACCCCTCGCCATTTCTTCTAGGCTGTATAAGTGTCCTGCACCCCAAAACAGACAAACCTTTCACTCCCCTCGCAGAAGGTGTACTGTTGGACAACATTCCGCAGCTGTCCATTCCACTCCTCATTCAGTACCCACGACACACAGCACAGTCACTGGAAGCTCCAGAAATTATGGGAATCCATCTCAGGCATTCTCCCGCCATCCGAGATTCACAGTTTGGAGAAGTGAGATTTAGGATGTGATTATCTTGGCCCAAGTTGAAGGAGTTCTTCCCCCCCTCCCCTTTTTTTTACATTTTATTTAGCCATTTGACTCATTGCTGTGGGATGATTAATGGGATTTAACTTCAGTACCATCTGTTTATTTTCTCTCGGTTTTTTTTCGGGGGGGGGAAGGAACGCGCACAGGCGAAACCGCTTTGTATATTCCCAGAGGAAACTTAACACATTAAAATGGAATTGCCTTCGCTTGTTTTACTGGGGAGGGGTGTGTGTGTGTGTGTCTTTTCCTTCCCTCCCAGGAACTGGCAGGAAAGGGCACAGCCCCTACCCCATCCAGCTGCTGCCCGGCCTCTGCCCACCGTCTGCCCTCCACACTGACATCTCTTTTCTCCTTCTGGGAACAAGCATCCTGAGGCAGAGGAAGGGATGGGGAGAGGCAACAGAGCAGGGCCTGCCCAGTTTGTGTGTGTGTGTGTGTGTGTGTGAGCGTGCGTCCAGCTCAAGGCAGGACGGAGGAGGGGAGACAAAGCCACGCTTGGAACTGGAGTTCTGAAGCAAAATGCGCCGATAAGGATGGGAAATAGAAGCCTCACCACCACCTCGACAAGTCACCACAACAGCCGCCGGGCAAGTACTCGCTTCCAACACAAGAATAAAACAACAATCACCCACCCCTTACCCACCAAAGGTGGTTTCGCATAACTTAGAGGGAAACGTCTTTAGCATTTCCCATCTTCTGGACAGCTCACCACCCAGACACACAGCCGGCGGAAAAGGAGAGGCTGGTTGATGGCAAACAAGACACAAAAAACCCATCCAGTGCTACTGGGATTGCTACTGTGTTCAAGAAAGCAACTGTTACAACGTAGTTTGACAATGCACGTTTTATGGAAAGGCACGTGTGTGCGTAGACACAATCGTCTCAGACATGTGCGTTCTCTCACTGGCCACGCCAAAGCAAACCCCAAAGGGTTTCCATTCCTAGGAGGATAGTCATGATTGCGTTCAATGGGGCTTCACTGCAACCATGTGGGAGTCCTATTACCTGTCAACTCTATTACCTGTCAACTCTGAGAGCACAGAACTGTGTACGCCCATGGTGACAGGTAAGGCCTCATCTGAGCCAAACCTAAGAACAATTGATGCGACTGACATGATGGAAAATCTGTGATTCCCCCTCCCCTTTATGAAAGACCTAGAAAAATGGGAGGTCTTTCTGGGTCTGGACATGACATACTTAAGAGTAAGACCACATCAACCTTGTTACATCTCATCCGCTAGGAGAGTCAAATGCCCCTTCTCATCTGCATGACCATATAAAGCTGGCCATCCAGCTTTTAAACCCTCTCCACCCCCTTAAAAAAGTGGGAGTGTGTCCCCACTCTCCCCACACCCCATCACTTGCTCTTTCCTTCCTGCAACGCTTGGCTGTGACTTTTTAAACACCATTTGTTCCTGTTTCTTGTTACCCTTTTTTTTGAAAAATAATTTGTTCCCGTTACTTGTTACAATGTACTTTTTCAAAGTTATTACGAAAGGTTACTTATTGCTTCTCGCTACTTTCAACAACATGGAAAGAAACTTAAGGTGGATGCCATTCTGAGATGATGATGGTGGTGATGGTGATGATGACAAGAATGGCATGAAACTGGGGTCGCCGCAGTCAAAACGCCCTTCAAAACTAACTTCGATGCTTTTCGCCACTTTAAACAATATGGATGATGATGGTGGTGATGGTGATGATGATAAGAATGGCATGAAACTGGGGTCGCCACAGTCAAAACGCCCTTCAAAACTAACTTCGGAAAGGGTCGCCTCTCCCACCGGTGAAATGGTGTCCTTCCTAGTAGTTGCATGACTTTTGAAATGTAACTTCATTACCAAGGAAAGTAACTCATGGAAGATAGCAACGCTGCCTGGTCTGCCTTGCTTACAAGCTGTTCCTTGGCCTGCCGAGCGGATCGCCCCTGTTTCGCTTATCCGCAGACGGAGGGAGGTCTGAGGTCAAGGAAAACCCACTTTGACTTAAGCAGCCACGGGCCACCCAGTAAGGCTTCGTGAGCCCAGAAAGCATGTGAACGGGGGTCCCCACTTGAGCTGCTAACGCACTGGCCAGGGCGAACCACAAACGAACAACTCAGACTGTCAAGCCCCTTCTTGAGCCCACTCGGGCATCTTGTTTTGATTTGGTGTTTTCATCTCTTGGCTTAAATCTTGTAAACAGAAACAGTGATTATTTTCATTTTCAGGTTTTTTCCCCCCCTCCTCCACCTCCTTCCCCTGAAATGGTTTCCATCTGCTGTGCAAAAAAAAAAAAAAAAAGCCTGATTTATCCTTGTCTTGTATTTGCTCAGCAAATGTGGGAGGGGGGGATGGAGAAAGGCCACTTCTTGTCACTTGGTTAAACTTTTATCTCTTGGCGACCAAATGCACACATTATTGTGAAGCAGGAGGAAAACGGCAGGGCTGGAAAAAAAAATCACGTTGATCCCCTTGCTGGAGACCTGTTTTATTTTCTCAGTTTCTCAAAGCTGTGATTTCAGGGAGGAAAGGGAAACACAGAAACCCTGAAATGCGACGTGTTTTCAGCAGCTGAAAAACACTGCTCTGGTCCAGCTGTTTCCAAACACTTTGGCATTGTCCCCCTGCCTTTTTAAAAAAATATATATTATTTTCAAGACACCCACATTCCTCGCCACCTCTTCTTTAGCATCATCCATCCCCTTTTCAACCACCAAAAACGACCATTGCAAAAAAAAATTAACACAAAAATAGGAATAAAAAGCCAACTATCCCCATGGCATTTCGATTTAAAAAAACAAACAGAAGGAGTTTTCCGGGGAGTTTTTTAAATGGATGTTCTTAAACGTTCATGCTCTCAGGCTCTAGTTGGTTGTCTTCTCCGTGGGGCGGGAGGCTGGCCGCTCTGGGGAAAGATGCCGGACAAGAGGACCGTCTGATCGGAGGCCACACTGCTCTTCCTATGCCTTCCAGACTTTTAGTTGAGTCCCGGAGGGCTCTTCTTAGATGACAAACGGTATAAAACTCACAGGGGTGTGTTTTGCGCTTTCTCAGCTGTCAGAGACGTGAATAATAACATTCATATGGCAGCAGGAACTGGGGCTCCGGGCAGAGTTCCCATTCGTAGTACTTTGCTGGATTTGCGACTTCGGGCTGTTGAGAGGGAAAACGGTCCACGGCTCCAGCTACCTGAGAATTCGCCCAGGGAGGTTCATGGAAGGTCTTCCTGGGTGACTCACAGCGGCCGGGTGTGAGCCTCCGATGCAAAGCTTTGTTGTCCGGGTGTCATCTGTGTCTGCCGGACTGCACAGGCTTCTTTGATGAAGCAGCCCCTTTAAATCATTAATCCCAGCATCCACCATCCCCACAGCATGAGGGTCGTTGTAGTCCAAGACGCGTCCATCATGGGGAAGATTTTCTGGGGGCACACACTTGCTCTGAGAGAGGATCTTAAACACATCTCCCCACGGGGGCGGGGGGAAACAAATCTTGGCTCTCAAAACCTGAAGATCTTCTTCGCCGAGCACCTGGTGGCAGAATCATCCGCTGTCTGCAGTTACAGGTCGACATCATCCTTGTACCAGAGACGTATCCCACCTTTTGCTGAACAAGCTCATGGTGGGGTGTGTGGGGGACAACCGGCCCAAGGTCCCAGAGTGAACGTGGTGGCTAAGTGGGCTCTCCAAGTCTCAGATCCTGCACTCCACTGAGTTAACGTTCATGGCTAGTGAACAAATAAACCCCATTGCATGCCAGCTAGAGGAGTATCATCACATACCATATTTTTCCATGTATAAGACGCTCCCATGTACAAGATGCCCCCCACTTTTCTAATCCAAAATTAAGAAATCTAAGTGGGGCTTAGCAAGTGTAGGGGGGAAAGGGATCCAAAGCGCTGCAGGATTGCTTTGATCCCTGCTTTCCCCTCCACTTGTTTTTGTTCTCTCCTCAGTTTACTTCCATGTATAAGATGGCCCTCAATTTTTAGTCTAAAGATCTTAGACAAAAGTATAGTCTTATACAGTACATGAAAAAATACAGTATTAAACAAACAACGAAGAAACAGTAGGTGTCAAATACAGGGACCAAGTCTTTGGTAAAAGTTAGTCAATCCCCCTGGAGAAGACCCAACCTCTCTTGGACTGAATCTGAGGGTTCTCACTAAGTGTTTGCTTGACACGTAATACTACTGATTACTAGAAGAAAGTTTTCTTAAGCCTTGAAATAATACATAAGAAATTTTAAAAATGAAAAATAAGACTTAGACTTTTTGGGAAACGACATGTTCCGACCCATCTGAACTATACCGAAATAACTGCCTACCAATGGGAAGTCCAGAGAGACTGGAAAGGGGGCATCCTGCGAAGGGTCCACGTACCGTTCTCGGCCGCCCGCTTAAGGTTTTCGATCATGGTGTCGTAATGAATCCTGCACAGGACCTTCTCCTCCACCAGGCCAAACTCCTCTCCGGTGGACAGCTGCCGTTTGCAGGAGAAACAAGCGAAGCAGGCCAAGTGGTAGGCATTGCCGCGGGCTCTTCTGACCCAGTCGCTGGCGTAGATCTCTCTCCCGCAACGGGCACATTTGGTACCGAACCGGCTGGGGAGGGAGAAGAAGACAAGGGAAGAAGCCATCAGCACAGGCACCATCCTAACCTCCTCTTCACATTCAGGAGTGAAATGGGCCCACCTTTTTTAACAAGGTGTATATTCCAGCCTGAAACGCTGATCATGGAAGCCCTTTACCCCTTGATCCACCTAAGCAGGACGGGCAAGAGCCTTGAAACCAAAGATATACGGCATCCCTAAGCTAAGAACCGCCTGGATCTCTTAGCACCACGGATGCCCACAAAGTACACTGGGAAAATCATTGAGAAAGAGTTCCATGAGAAAAGAAGGGGGGCTGTTACAGAAGATATTTGAGATGCTCACGGTAACCAGATTGGGCCCTGGGTTCATCTCATGCATTAGGGTGGTCCTCGGTGAATGGATTCCATAATTTTAAGGATCCGGCTGGTGCCATGTTGAGAGTCTAGACAGGGAAGCCATTTCCCCCCTCCCTCCAAATCAAATCTGCTCAAAGCCCAAGAGACGAGGAGGGTAAGTGGGTGAGGATTACGATGCCAAATCCTTCCACATGCTTTGGCTCGTTGGCACAAGTCCTCGTTCTGCACCAGCAGATATTGGCTCTGGTCGTGTCCCGCCTTCTAAGATGTCTCTTTGGAACCGGGCGCTTTTGTTCCCCTACTAACTTTGGCAACGGGGCCCCCCAGTAAAACGTGTGGGGGGAATGGGGTTGGCTGAGGGGGCTCAGCACTTCTAGGCTGAAATCCCAGTCGTTGAAATGAATTTCCACTAAATGTGGAGCAAAAGAGAAAGTGGGGGGAAAAATAAAACAAAACAAGGGATAATAAGTTCCTTGGAACCGGCTCCAGGAACTACAGCTGGTTTGGGGCAAATAATTTTATCTCTGGCTGGGCACTCATCCTTACACCTAACGCCCGAGATGGGCCCCTTTTTTCAGAAGCCCTTGACAGCCCAAAGCAATGGAAACTCGTCCTGGAGTGCATCACTTCGCTTTGAGCCGATCTTGTCCTCTCGTCCTCAGTAATGAATCCCTGGCACCGCTGAGGCAGGATCTGTCTCTGTTTGTTTGTTGTTGCTTTTTCAAATGTCGTGAAGATTTTTGCCAGAACAAAAACCGAGGCCCAATTTGGAAAAGAAAGAAAAAAAAGAAAGTCGGTAAGGAAAGCAAGGAAAGTGACAGGAGAGAGAGCTGAGGGCGCGCTAATTTCTTGCATATGGAGAAAGCAGCAGCGAAGCTGCGCACGGCTAAATCTGTGCAACCGCACACACAAAAAAGGAACCTCATTAATTAATTTTTCAAAATAGTTCCAGTCCCTTTAAGAAAAGTCTCCACCTTCTCCCATACGAGATGAAGAATTAAGCTTCTTCTTGGTCTCATACAAATAATTTAGCTAGCAGTTACATGCTTTTCCCCATGTAGGATGTTCACTAATCAACTTCCATTGATTAATGTTTGGGGGCCAGATTTAATTAGGGAAGGCGGGTATTTAACCAGTTAAGGGCTTTGCTGATTAACATTGCCTTTTCCCCTTTACTGATTCAATAACACGCTGGAATTGCCATTAAAAACACCTTCTAGCAATGAACATGGACTTCTGTTTAATAAATTTCATTAGTGTTGAACCCAGAACTATCATTTTAAAAAGACTTGTTTGGAAAGAAAAGCTTATAACTCTTTAAAAAAAATACTTTTCAAATTTAGTTCCAATCTCAGTTATTGAATATCAAGACAACCGAATTAGCATGTGCCACAGAAACAAAATAAAGCCAGCCAGGACGATTGAGGTGACAGAATCAGAAAAAGAACTGTAAATATATATATTCCAGACGCTGGAAATAATGCAAATAAATTTTTCCCTAATTAGGTCTGTCTGAGCAGGTCCTGTGATTATTTCTCAGAGACAATACCAGTTTCAAATCCACATTTCCACAGATGGGGAACTGAGACAATATGTGATATTTTCCAGATCTACATACCCCCGCCCTAAAAACCACCAAAATATATAATGCTGCATTTGCCTTGTGGATGTTGCTAGACAACAGGGACACATCCGTGCAGTGGCTCAGGATGTGTTTAATTTAAACAACTCATCTTTGCCTCAAGTCTGGAGGGGTGTGTGTCAAGAATCTCCCTCCAGAAATGATCGGTCACACCAGAGCTTAGCAAAGAAAAGAAATAAGAATCAGACAGAAGGAATCTGATCTGAACCTCTTAGCAAGGAGGAACAGATGCCAACGTAAACATCGTTGGGTTAAAGGAAATACTGTGCTCAGGAAAGATATATATTTAAACTACAACTCCCAGCCAGGATTCTGAGATTTGTAGTCAAGAACATCACTCTTCCGAGCTATGAGGAACAAACTTCTCAACCAGAGGGCCGGAAACCCTCATCCACAGTGCAATAGCTTGGGTCCAAGCTATTTAAAAGATCACATTTTCCTCCATGAGCCTGTCCCACCATTAAAAGCATCAGGAGAGGCCTTCCTCTTGATCCCACAACCCTCACCAGAGCATTTGGTGGGGAAAGGGCCTTCTCTGTGTCTGCTCCCAGACTCTGGAACTCCCTCCCACAAGAGGCCAGCCTGGCCCCATCTTTGCTGTTCTTCCGCAAGCAGGAAAACACCTTTCTCTTCAGACAGGTCCTGAGTGACTGACTGCCTGACTGACTGGGGTTTTCTGCTCTGCTGCTTTTAAATGTGTCTTTGGAATTGATTTTATTTACCACTTTTAATATGATACTTGTTTAATTCTCTTTAAATATTTGAACACTTCCTGTTTTTAGCTTTTTATATTATCCTTTTAATGATGTGAAATGCCTCGGGTCCTTTTGAGGAGAAAGGCGGGGATAAAAATATTTTAAATAAATAAAATGATTTTGCTTTATTTCAGAAACTAAGCAGTTTCTGACTCCATTACAGTCTCATTAAGTTGTTTTTTAATTACACTTCTAGAACACATTCACTCCACCCCCTCCCTAACAAACATGGACCAATATTTCATTCTCTACCTACGGGTGGGTCTGACACGATTCAGGCATTCTGCCTTATGCAGAATTTATTTCTGACTATTTCTCATAAGCAATTATTAATTTTACTGACAGACGTCCATTTCCCCTATTTGTAACAACGACGTAAAATGCCGAATACCAACTGGCAGGTATCTTCTGTTGCAAAATGTTCCTCTGTTACCTTTCTGTGCCTCGCTAGCAAAATTTTCTAGCTGCTCTCAAACAGGTCCATGCTTTTTCTCCTTTGACTGGACTTGTCTCTCCCACCTCTGGACCAAATTTAAGTTGTATCTGAAGCTATCGGGGAGCGTGCAAGCTGAATCCCTCAAATACTTTCAGAACACTGATAGAACTTGATCTTGAAAAATAAGAGAAGATAGATTTTGGCTACAGTGTGCTATTATTGGAGGAAATATTCCCAAATAAGCGAAGAAGCAAAGGTTAAAATTGCCTTTTTCAATTTATCAAACAATGGGTGCTTATGTGAATTAACAGCATCTTCATCCTAGTAGATTCAGAATATACCCCACTGAACTCAACTGTGTTAACTCTCAAGGAATTCTCAAGAATAGCAGCCTAAACACTTTGAATTGTCTCTATCTTGATGATCAATTTTCTGCTTTTATTTTGAGGCACTAATATTAAAGGGTTGGCACGATGCACTTGGAAGCTGAAGTGATGAATGAAATAAAAAATGACAGTGCGGTCGTCGAGATAAGCCCCACGGCGTTCGGCTGGATTTCCAGATAAGTGTGTTACGTGAATGTGGAGTTGCTGCTTTTCATGATGGAGATTTCTCCCACTGGAGGTGTATATAATTATCAGCCTGGAAGTAAAGGCTACAGACTTAACAGGGCTTATTTCATAGTACAGAAGCCCAAGATGATGAAGTGATGTCTGGTGGACAGCCTCAGTAAAAGCACAAAATACAGAGGGCTGGAGAAATATTTTAAATTCCACCCATCTTACATTGTAGAAAACCGCTCTGTCCCAGACTGAAATATTGTTGAGAATGTCTAGGGAAGGCTGCAGGAGAACATTCCTAAAAACTCAGAAGGCGTTTCTTAGTTCTCTAAACTATGTACGGATAGCCTGGTTTTAAGTTATCCTTCAGCTATCAAACCCCTCCAAAATCAATGGGACTTCAATTTTATATAAGGCATGTTCTCAAAATGTCTACAAGGCGACATGTGCTTTGCTCCATAATGTTACAAAATAACCCGTTTCTGACTGATGAAACGTTCTGTGTCACCAGAAACTTTGCACAACCGAGCACAGCAATTGTTCTTACTAGCAGTCTGCTCCCCACTCCAGATGATCCCATTTCCTTCTGTGTCTTGCAACAGTTTTATGTCACCAGCTTAAAGTGAAGCTCTTAACAAGAACACAGAATCTTGTTTCTCCATGTTGTTTGCCCATTTTTTCCTAAAATTTATTGAACAGCAACCCTGACTGCGTAACTTTTGGGCACTCATCCTGGAGCTAAGCCCATCATCCTCACTTCATCTATAGGCCCCAAATCCCTCCTGCCTTTTATTTATTCCTTCTCATTTTAATGTTTTTAAATTATGTTCCAGGAGGAGGGGGAGATTAAAAACCCAAAAGAATGGGAAGAAATTAATGATCTGCAAATGCCACAACATATTGGGAGAAGTCAGGGAAAAATCTTTGGATCAGGATGCATGTAGTAAGATACAGGATTACAATTGTATATAATACTAAAAAAATTGACACCCCACAAGGAAATCTTACAATTTACAAAGGTGATCTGGGACATGAATGAGCAAGATGGGGTGGGGTCTTTCTCGTCCCTGATGGCCCCTCCATTTATGTCCGTGTCTGGGCAGGGCAAAAACTAAATCAGTTTAAAGCTACCCAGCCTTCTCTCAATGTGTCGGGTGTGGAAAGGGTTTAAGTAAAGGCCCTAAATGTCCGGACGGAAGAAGATTCCCAAAAAAAGCATGGAGTCTGGTTATAAAAATAATAATGAATGAATGAACATTCATTCATTATTATTTTTATAATAACGAATCCCAGGCTTTGCAGTCAGGGTTAAGACTGGACACTTAAGTCTGGACATTTAAGTCTGGACATTTTTTTTTCAAAAAATGGGCATTTCAATACATTTAGAAAAGACAAATCTTGGTTGCGAGGAGGTCAAGAGCTAAGCAACCATGAAATCACATTTCTTGCTTCCTTCAGAAATATTTCACAGACATTTAAGCTTTTGTAAAGATTTGAGTAGTTTTGGGGTCAATAAATGGTCACAGAAGTTACGTTTTCACTAGGCACTTTTTTATACAGATGGATAAACTATATCCATGGTAGATAAAATAGATGCCTACAAGCCCATCGATTCAGAGGTTCCCCCCCCTGTTGAATTCAGTGGGGGTTTGCACCCAGAAAAGCAATCAGAGGGATTTTGAGATTTATTTCCTCAGGAGGAGATAAGACAGAGCATTTTGCTTGGCAACTACAAAGCGTCTGGTGATGCCCTTAAAGACGACGCGTTTGTTATCTCGCCCTAACTTTTCCCTTTCCTTAAGTCGATTTCTGTTGTGGTTTGAAAATCTATAGCAACACACACACACCCTCCGGGCCGGTCACCTCCCTCCCTCCACACTGCCCCGACTCACTGCGCAAAGGAGGGTCCCAGAGACGCGCGGAAATTGCGCCCGGGCGCATCTCAAAGTCGGTTTGAGAGGCAGCGCGGTCTACGGCCTGCTCGCTTTCTCCGTCCCCGAAATATTCAACGATCAAATATTCAATGACTAAAATATTGGACAAGAAACGCCCCCCACACAAGCAGGTAAATATAACCCAAATCCAGGCTTCGTTTTTTTGTCGCCGGAAAATAATCAAAACGAGGGTGAGGGGTGCCAAGGACCCCCGGAGGGCGCGCCACACCCTCGGGGAAAAAAGGGCTTATTCCCCATTCTCACGTTCGGCACCTCCGGAACGCGCGTCTTCTTCCGGGAGTGCTGAACGTGAGAATCGGGAGCGCTCTTCATCCGGTTGTTTCCCAAGGAGCGGAGTACGTAAAAGGTACCAAAGTCTTGATCATGACAAGAACCCCACCAGAAGCACAGAAACCAGGCGTTAGAGAAGAAACCCAACAAGATAAGTGAATTATTCCGCCCCCAATCCTTTGTTTGTTTATTTTGATTTGCTTTGTTCCTAAAGCTGAAATATATATTCAGCCAAGGATAAATGGAAGCAATTTTTCCTATAATTCTAATTCTCGGTTTTTCTTCATCAGCTTCTTTCTTTCTCGTGGTCCAGAAATCCGTGGTCAATTAATTGTTTTTTTGTTTGTTTGTTTGTTTTTACGGGCGTTATTCAGATGCCCACCGCTCCGCGCAAGGACGCAGCGCCGCGATCCTACAGGGCCAGCCCTGAGACTGACATTCACAGAGGTCTGCAGAGGATGGCGCCTTATTCAACTTCCCTGCCTTTCCTACTGGCAGCTTCCATTTCCAAGCGGACCCCTAAAAAAGGGAAAGGATTTGGGGAGTCCCGTCTCCTCAACGCACTTTCTCAGCCTCTAAAATTTCGAGGATGCGACCCTTCTGGTTGGGGAGGGGGACCGTCTAACCCATCATCCCCAGGCCTTCTCATCCAGCTCCTAAATCTGAACCGGAAACGGTTGTCCTTCCTCTCCAAAGCGGAGCTGTTTGGCGCCGTGTAAACACCAAAGGGGGTCGATTCGGTCTCGCCACACCGGAATGTTGGCCAGTAAAGCAAATGAGACAAATAAGATCCATTCATCCTTCTCGGCTTCTCGAGGGGGGGGGGTCTCTTTCGGATGCTGAGGTTTTTAGCTGGGACGGGGGTGGGGTTGTTAAGAAGCGTTTATTCCCACCGCATAATTTTTGTTTACGGGGGGGAATCATAATCCAGTGACGGGAACGGGTGCTGCATACTTACTGGCAAACCCTGATCCAGCTACTCGTAAGTAGCACGCCTGGAAGCTTTATTTTACAGGCAAGTACTCGATTTAAAGCCTCGTCGATCGAAACTTCTCACTTGCCCAAATAATAATAATAATAATAATAATAATAATAATAATAATAATAATAATAATAATAATAATAATAATAATAATAATAATAATAATAAGGATTGGAGGCCGTAGCGCTTCCCCCCCGTCGTTAAAATCTAGGTTCGGCCGCAACACGCGTGTCAGGGCGCGGCCGTCAGAAACGGGTGAGGGCTCCGCGTCGGACTGGGGTCGGGAAAAAATCCTTGGAAATCTCTCTTCATCATCCTAACCAGGGGAAAGCCTTCGTTTCTTTCCTCCAATTTTTTTTTTCTTTTCTTAAGAGTTCGATTTTAAAAAGGCAATTAAAAATGAAAAATTCGAGACCTTGGATAAAGGTGGAAATTTAGAAACGAAGCTGCAGGCGCCGCGCGCTGACGTGCAAGGCATCAAATAACGCAAGGGGAAAAAAAGAAAAGAAAAGAAAAAAGAAAGCGTCCAGAAACGACAAAACTGTTAGGAAAGGGGAATTGCAATTACAGTTAACCAATTACAGTACAAAAAAAAAAATTGCCGCGCCTTCCGGCTAGAACCAAAGATGTTGCCTTTTCTTCTGTCTGGATGGGGCGGCTTCTTTTTGAACTACAGTATTCAAACATGCAGACTTCTGGATTTTCCGTTTGCTTGACGAATCCGGCGTCAAACCAAAGGCGGTCCGATCAACTTTAGAG